AAGGAAGGAAGGAAAATTGGAGGAAAAGAAAAGAGAAAAGGTGGAAGGATGGCTAGACAGATGGGTGGACTGAAGGGAGGGAAAAAGATATAAAGGAAGGGAAATGAGCAGAAATTAAAGGAAAGGGAAGGAAGAAAGAATGGAGGGAATAAGGAAAGAATGAAAGGAAAGGGAAATGACCAAATTAAAGGACAGAGAAGGAAGAACAGGGTGGAAAGGTGTGAGAAGGAAGGAAAGAAAGAAAAAAAATGGGAAAGAAATGAGAGGAAATTAAAGGAAATGAAAAGAACAGATGGAAGAACAGAAAGAAAGAAGGAATTAAAATAAGGAAAGAAGGAAGGAAAATTAGAGGAAAGGAATGGGAAGGAAGGAAAAAGGGAAATTAGAGGAAAGGAAAGGACGGCAGGGAGGGAGGGGAAATCAGAGAAAAAGAAAGAGGGAATAAAAGAATGGAAAGTAAGAAGAACAGGAAAGGAAATGGAAGGAAGGAAAGCATGGACTGCAAGAAAGAAAGAAAGAAGCACATACAAACTGCTAAATGATGTGCTGGCCTGTAATGATGTAGAAACAGACAGGAGGAGGAGGAAGAGGAAGGCGAGCGGGTGAATGTGAGGGCTCTGGGTAATGAGCGGAGGATGAAGGATGGAGGGATGAGAGCAGCAGACACATGTGGAGAGAAGGATGGAAGTGAAAGAATCAGTTAGTGAGGCCATTCAGCACAGAGGAGAACCGCTGCCGTGTCACCATGGTTACAAATTACCAATGTGACACCCCGAGAAAGACTGACACCGTGTGTGTGTGTGTGTGTAAGAACACCGCCAGCGAGCGACTGATCTACTTCTGTCACCTCGCACCACATGATCACATACACAAATCACCAAACACAAAACAGATCTACCATGTAAATAGCACAGCATTATCATCAGAGACTGAACAGAATCTGTTTCCCGTTCCAGCTGTGCTGAAACATCAGTCTAGTCACTGTGTGTCTGAATGCAGCTGATGGTCTGTTCATTGATTACATGAGCATGAACAAAGCCGTTTCTCTCCGCCTGTCTTTCGATGCTAAAGTGTGCTAAAAAGAGCCTTACTGTTGCCGTGGTTTCTGAAAATACACACCATATGGCTGAGCCCAAAAACATCTGAGCAATGATATGGTGTTAGTAGTAAAATCTGTCAGCTTTCAAATTACAAATGATCTTAGGTTTACACGGCAAGCCTTACAAAGCAGTACTGGCGCAGTACCATGGTACAATGATGGTATCAGGTGAAAATATTAGAGTACTTTGATAAATATCAAGGTATTTAAATGGCATCCAATGATACACGCACACACCTTTGAAAGTTCAGGGCTGGTAAGATTTTTTTTTTTAATGATTTAGAGTGTCTTATGCTCACAAAGGCTGCATTTATTTGATCAAAAATACAGTTAAATATTGTGAAATATTAAAATAGCTGCTTTTGATTTGAATATATTTTAAAATATAATTTATTTCTGTGATCAAAGCTGAATTTTCAGCATCATTACTCCAGTCTTCAGTGAAAATCAGAAATCATTCTAATATGCTGCTCAAGAAACATTTATGTTTATCAATGTAATACATGTTTTTCAGGATTCTCTGGGAGAAAGTTCAAAAGAACAGCCTTTATTTGAAACAGACATTTTTTGTAATATTATAAATGTCTTTTCTGTTACTTTTGATCAATTTAATGCATCCTTGCTTTATAAAATATTCTTTGTTAATCGATCAGGAAAGATCTCTTTTGAAACTCTAGAGGAAAGCACACTATCACAGCAGCTGGTCACTGAGGAAGAGTCTTAGAGGACGAACTGCTGCTATTTTATGCAAATATAATGCTAAATATGGTGCGGCAATCCAACTATCAACTGCCCTCTTTCTCTCCGAACAGCTTGAGCCAAAGCAAATACTGCTTACACACACACACACACACACTGTATACGTAACAAGATTCTTACATTTTCTTATCAAAATGTGAGTGGCACCTGTGCAAAAGTCAAGATGCTCTAGCTTTGTGGAAGTAACAACAAATAGAATAATTTTAAAAAGGTTGGCTTTCGTATATATGATGCTTTAATTGCTCATTTCATTCTCAGAATTGAAAAACATTGATATGATAGTTCTTGTTATCAGAACGAAAAGAAAATATCTATTTTCTAGATATGGTTCAAATCCCAAGTTCAATGCAAGTCTAGGGGATTTTCA